CTATGCACGTACAAGGGCACATGATTTTGAGTGCTCCAGTATCTTCTCTTGGTGTGACTTAAGTTGTGCTTTCCGGGACGTTCCATTGCATGTAACAGAACTTTCAGACTCTTCTCTTGAAGCAGAAGTGCCTTGTGTTTTCAATGTCCCTAAATAGTTTGTTTTGGAACTTGCTGTACAACAACTCCTTGGTGTTCACCTCCTTTTCCAGAGTGAGCCTAGGAGTCAATCCTCAATGCCTGACTCAACTCCTTTCAATCTGATTGGCTCCATTCAAAACAAAGGGTGAAAATACTCACTTTAAATGGCTAAAAAGCTCAGCTTTCACGCTGAATGGGCAGCTCTGGGATACTTGAGACTGAGACCCTCCTCCTGTGGAAATAGTAACGGGTCTCCAAAACTCCTCCTCACTCTGTGACCCTAGACCATTACACCACCATAGAATCATGGGAATTGTAGTTTTGTTTTCACAGAGCTACAATTCACATCACCCTTAACAAACAACAATTTTCAGAATTCCTTATGGGAAGCCATGCTGAGGGGGGCTGTGTGTGTGCTGTGTGTGTTTGTACCAGTGGCGTAGCGTGGGTTGTCAGCACCCGGGGCAAGGCAAGTAATTTGCGCTCCCTAACCCATGGATTTGCGCCCCTAACCCCCAGATGTTGCGCCTGGTGCGGCCGGCCCCCCCTGCATCCCCCACGCTACGCCACTGGTTTGTACTGGGGGAGGGGGTGGAGGAAAGCAGGAATGGAGCCTGCCTCACCAGTCCAGCCCTCACCGATCCTACCCCAGAGCCAAGCGGGGCTGCACTGTGCTGCCTGTCCACCCACGCAGGGGGGAGCCTTGCTGGCCAAGGCGGCCCTTGGTCGGTGAATCCCCCCAACACCCACAGAGAATCACTGGGTCATGCCATGCTAGGGGTGCTTGCATGGGGGCCCAAACCAGGCACCCCCACAAATTGTGCACCTGGGGTAAAGCCTTACTGCTCCCCCCCCACTAAACCCCTGTCACAAACCACAGCAGTAAATAAGTGAATTGCAGGGATATCTCTTAAAATTGCTTCTTGGAACAGATGCATCATGGGACCTTCTGCATGCAAAGCAGATTGAACTATGGTACTGGACGCCCCCCCCCTCACCTGCTCCCAAATACAAGAAGTGTGAAGTGAATATGGAGGTTTCTTCACAGAAGAAAAATCTGATAATGAAAGTGAAATGAATTTTAGTTAGATGTGACAGTTTTGGGTAGGAGTTCACATATTCCAAATCAAGGCACTAGGAATTTATCAAACATTTACCTGAACTGAACATATACTAGTCTATAAAAACTCTTGTATAAATACAGTATATGTATAACTGTATACATATACCTGGAACACTGTAGTCGGAAGCAGTGTCTGGGCGGAAATTGGCAATGTCCGGGGAAATCCGGATGTGTGGAAAGCTACTTCAGCAGTGTCGTTTTTGCTGATTCCCCCCAAAATAGCTCAAAAACAGCTCACCAACCTTGGGCAAGACTAAAGAAAGCTCAACAACATTTGCGTCCAGATTTCACTTTTTGAAATATGGCAACCCTAGTTCTCCTAATGCGTGCACCTGCAGAAAGCTGGGGTTGTGCACTGTTCTCCATTAATGTGATGGTTTTCATGTTGGGAGTGGCATCTTTAATCCTGGGGATGGCTGAAGAGTCACCCTGGGACACAAAATTCCCCACCTCCCAAAGGTCCCACTAGTTCTGCTCAGAGTTTATTACCTGCCACAACACCTGGTATTCAAATCATCTTTAGTACTTCCTGTTTAACTCTTGCTTTTTTACATGTTCAAAGGACTCCTTGAATATGCACCCTTGATCTTGCCTGCGGGTTTTTTTGGTGTGTTTTTTTTTACATAAGCCGTTCCAATTCAGCTCAGTTTAATAACACTTCACATGTATATCGGCATATTTCCTCTTCAAAGAGGCTCTGTATAAATACTGATTAATGTTCACAACACACCGTTTGCAGGAAGTGGAAGAACCTGTAGGCTGAGTGATAAGGGCACTTAACCAAACCATCAATGAAAAAAGAGGTACAGGGCTGGAGTATCCTTGAGCTCTGGTCTTCACACTTTCATGGATCCACCAGTAGTCCACCAACTACAAATAGCTATCAGTAGTGCAGGTCAACAACTAAGGACAGAGGAAAGGCAAATAAGATGCAATTATAGTTTCCTCTGTACGTAAGGAGAGTCTGCCTGAACAGGCCAATGGTCCATCTAGTTCAGCATTTTTTTTTCTCACAGTAGCCACCCAGATGCCTATGAGGAACCCTCAAGCAGGACTCAAGCACAAGAGTACGCTCCCCTCCTGTGGTTTCCAGCAACTGGTATTCAGAAGCATTACTGCATCTGACTAAATCTCCAATGCTTGTGGGCTTTATTGAGCAGCTAAGGTAAAGGTAAAGGTACCCCTGCCCGTACGGGCCAGTCGTGTCCGACTCTAGGGTTGTGCGCACATCTCACTTAAGAGGCCGGGGGCCAGCGCTGTCCGCAGACACTTCCGGGTCACGTGGCCAGCGTGACAAGCTGCATCTGGCGAGCCAGCGCAGCACACGGAAACGCCGTTTACCTTCCCGCCAGTAAGCGGTCCCTATTTATCTACTTGCACCCGGGGGTGCTTTCGAACTGCTAGGTTGGCAGGCGCTGGGTTGGCAGGAGTGCACCCCGCCGCGGGGATTCAAACCGCTGACCTTTCGATCGGCAAGCCCTAGGCGCTGAGGCTTTTACCCACAGCGCCACCCGTGTCCCTATTATTGAGCAGCTAGCTACATACAAAACCACACCTTCTTCTAACATGCTGTGTGTTGAGGAGTAGAGCCATCCAGCTGGCATGGATATAGTCAGGATTTATGTTGGGGTCTCAGTTATGTCTCAGTTAAGTATATTTTATTGAGTTATGTGCTGGGGGGGGCAGTTGCCCCCCCCCGGCCACACCCAAGACTACAAACATATCACTTTTATCGTTCATTTATTTTGAGCAGGGGTAGCCAACATGGTGCCCCCACCAATGTTGTTGGACTACAGCTCACATCATCCACTGGCTGTACTAGATGGGTGTTGATGGGTGTTGGAGTCCCGATAAATTTGGAGAGCACCACATTGGCTACTCCTGGTCTGCTTTGCTGAGCAGTTGTTCTCCAAGGGCCCAGGAGGAAACTCTTTCCTAGCTCTGTATCTCACATCTTGCAACTGGAATGGCTGAGGACCGTCTACACACAATGCATGAAATCTACGACGATGTGCAGGGATTTCTCAGAAGACAAATTGATATGAAAGGTGTTTCTTGAAGAGAATTTGAAAGCACTGCTTCACATTAATGGTTCATTTTAATTTCCAAGTAAATGAGTTCAGAACGCAGGTGTAAGGTGCTCACCTATATGTCTACCTGGCTGGACCATCCCCTTAGGGGATGGAGAAAACATCCTTTTCATGTCCACCTCTTCCTTTCATTCTGAGAAGCCCAACAAATCATAACCAATTAGAGTCCTTTGTTATCAAGGCTGTCTATCCTTTGAAGAGATGAGCAAATGCCACCAGCAGCTAATTTTATACAAGCCGCCAAAGATCTGTCAAGTGTAAACCATCACATTCCTTTTCAAGCTGGGGTGGCCTTTTTAATTTGCCCAAAAGGCAAAATAAACCTTCTTAACAAACCTTCTGAAAAGGGAAAGGAACCTAGCCTTCCTCGCTAAGAAATCAGGCCCCTTTCTCTACAAGATTTCAGATTGTGAGGAGATCATAACTGGCCAAATAATTGTCAAAACACCAAAATGCAGGCTACTTTCATTGTTTGGCTAAGGGGGGGGAGACATAATATTTAAGGACTTGATTAAACTCATGTTAGTCACAGTCAGACTTGCAATTACTCAGCTATGGAAGTGCAATAGGACTCCTACTACAGATCTCAGGGATAGTAATCTTTGGAAAATAGCCATTGCAGATAAACCTACACATCAAATCCATGTCATCAAGGGATAAGTGACACTTTCCCCCCTTTCCTTTTGTGGAATGGGTTAGATTTGCTTTTTCACACTAATAAGGCTGATAACCCAGGAACACCTATGCCACAATTGGTGTGTGTGTGGGGGGGTGGTGGTGTTAATGATTAAAATGTAGGTGTAACAGCAGGGGTAAATCAGTGTGTGATTTAAGGGTTAATTATGTTATCAGTAAATCAGCTAAGAAGAAGGATGGTAAAGGTGGTTCTGGGGCTTCTGCAGCAGCCTGAGGATGCCAGGGGATGATGCTGGCCTTGGTTCAAGGCTATTGCTACATCTTTATCGTAAACCAGGAGTCAGCAAACCTTTTCAGCAGGGGGCCAGTCCACTGTCCCTCAGACCTTGTGGGTGGTCGGACTATCTTTTGGGGAAAAAATAAAAATGAACAAATTCCTATGCCCCACAAATAGCCCAGAGATGCATTTTAAACAAAAGGACACATTCTACTCATATAAAAACACACTGATTCCCGGACTGTTCGTGGGCCAGATTGAGAAAGCGATTGGGCCAGATCCAGCCCCCGGGCCTTAGTTTGCCTACCCATGTCCTAAACACTTCCAAGCAAGCAGAGCCAGTCTCAAAACCCAGATTAAGATGTGCAAGAGTAAGGGTGCAGAGAGAAGGCATGAAGCTCCTCTCTAGGTGGTAATGCATAGGGTAAAGTATGTGAGCCATGAAGGAGATATGGATGGAGGGGGATGGCTGTGGACCATACCTCTCTCTCTGATCCACCAGAGAGCTACTCCAAAGCCAGGCTACCAAGTCATATCCATGACAAAATGTGTTTAAAGTGGGCAGCTATGTTTTTGCTTTTTGGAGATTTTGCTGCTTTACTTTTGTGTGTTTGTGTGTGTGTGTGTGTGTGTGTGTGTGTGCCTGTGCATATGGAGAGAGAGAGAGAGATTGTTCTGCTTATAAGGTAAATATAAATATAACAAAAAATTAATTGATCTCACTTTATTTCTAGTTCAGCCAGAAATAGTGATGACCTTCCTGCAAGTTGTCCATGACTATCATGAGATGAAGGTTTGAAGAAAAAGGAGGAGGAGGAAAGGCTAAATAAAAGAATAATAACAACAGCAACAACAACAGTACTTGACTCATTAACATTTGTACTTCAGCCTAGCACACAAGCATACTGTAAGTTGGACCAGATCCAGAAAGGGGCAAGAATAAGCACTTGTCAGAGCCTCAGGACCAGCCGCCAAGCGATGGAGAGGGACTCTGGTGCCGGTCTAGGACTGCAGAAATCTATCTTCAGCACTCAGCAATGATGCTCATTAGGTGACACCTGGCAGATCACTTTCTTCCAGCCTATTCTACATCACAGGGTGGTTATGACAATAAAACAGAGGTGAGAACTGCATGTGCCACCTCAAGTTCATTTGAAGAAAGGTGGGATATAAATACAGCCAAGAAATGGAGCATATGCGAAGACTGTACTTTGTGAAGGTTGCTGAGAATTGTTAAGAGCTGTCAAAGGATGGTGCAATACCCTTACACAGTTCCCAGGATTCTTTAGGAGAACCCATGACTGCTCAGAGTGGTGTGATACTACTTTAAATGTATAGTGCAGATGGAGCCAGTATGCTACCAGCCCAAACCCCTTTGATTCCATCAAATAAACATACCACTTCATATAGTCACACTGTCTCCCAAAGAATCCTGGGAACTGTAGTTTGTTAAGGGTGCTGAGAGCTATTAGGAAACCCCTATTCCCCTTACAGTTACAGTTCCCAGATAATAATAAATAATAATTTATTATTTATACTCCGCCCATCTGGCTGGGTTTCCCCAGTCACTCTGGGCGGCTTCCAAAAGAATATTAAAATACTGTGATACATCAAACATTAAAAGCTTCCCTAAACAGGGCTGCCTTCAGATGTCTTCTGAAAGTCTGGTAGTTGTTGTTCTCTTTGACATCTGGTGGGAGGGCGTTCCACAGGGAGGGCGCCACTACCGAGAAGGCCCTCTGCCTGGTTCCCTGTAACTTGGCTTCTTGCAGTGAGGGAACCGCCAGAAGGCCCTCGGTGCTAGACCTCAGTGTCCGGGTAGAACGATGGAGGTGGAGACGCTCCTTCAGGTATACTGGACCGAGGCCATTTAGGGCTTTAAAGGTCAGCACCAACACTTTGAATTGTGCTCGGAAACGTACTGGAGAGTTCACCCAGAGTTCACTGGAAAGACAGATTGACTATTAAACTACTTTGGGAACTGTAGCTCTGTGTGTATGGAAATAGGGTCCTCCTAACAGCTCGCAACACTTAAACTACAGTTCCCAGTATTCTTTTTTGGGCGGAAGCCATGATTGTTTAAAGTGATACACTGTTATTAATACACAGTGCAGATGGGGCCTATATGGGGCTATCTTCAGCTACATTATCAGAAGTGTTTTTAACAAGCATTAGTGGGCAGCTAATACCCTATCAGCTTTTGCACTAATCTATTTCCCTCTACACTTCTGACATAGCATGCTTGCTTTGGGAAGCTCTTTTGTTCTGGCCATCTAAGATACAGTGAACTTTTTTATTTTATTTTTGGAGGGGGGGGAAGCATCCCAAGAGGTCTGGGCCTCTGTCAGCACACCTCTGTCCAATGCAGGCCGTGCATTGTGATGAGCGCCGCAGCCCAGCAGCTGAACAATATAAGTCTGTTGGACATTCCGTCTGGGCTGTCACGTTCAATTTGCACATGACCTCCTGGCCAAAAATCGGGAGAGAAGTGGTAGAATGCGGGACTGAAAGCTTATATTATTGCTTTGACAGCTTCAGTCATCTAGAAGTAATGCAAAATGCAATTTATATTTATACTCTCTGACCTTCTGCTCAGACAGGAAAACTATCTAATGATGGGCCACGGTAGCAAGGAATGAAACAGATCTCAATACGACTGGAATTTGTCTTCTTCCACCCCCCACCCTCCCTTTCCAACAATTCAATAACAGTCAAAAGACAAATGAAACATGAAGAGAACCTTGGTTAGGTAGTGACACAATTATCTTATAGTGAGTAGGTTTGGGCTTTGAGCTTTAGTAAAGGTTGCTTTCTGTGGTTTTCTCTGCCACTCCTAAGACAAGCTTCCTGTTCCCACTAGTCCAAAGGGTTGTCTCCTTCAGAATATAATGCCAGGACAGGGAACTGTTGACTCTGCAGATGTGGTTGGACTCCTGCAGTTAATAATGCCAGCCAGCATGACCAATGGCCAGGGAGGATGGGAATGGTAGTCATGGGATGAATGAATGCCATACCCATGAATATTATCCAAGGAGGAAAAAGCTGTCAATGGCTTCTAACCATGATGACCGTCTTCTGCTTCCATGCTCAGAGGCAGTAATGCTGTTCTATACCTGTTACTGGAAACAGCAGGAGAAGAGAGTGCTTCTGTGCTTGGCTTCTACTTGAGGACTTTGCACAGGCATGTGGCTGGTCACTGTGAGAGCATGATGCTGGACTTGATGGGCCATTGGCCTGATCCAGCAGGCTATTCTTACGTAGTCCAGCAGCATCTAGAGATATGCTCATTGTGAAAAAGAATTGCCTGTTTGAGTCAGCCTCAACATTTGCTTTCTGCCAGTGCAAGGGCTCTAGTGATAGTGGATAGGTGCAGGGTGAAGCAAGGATTTATATTGGGGGGGGGCATGACCCCCACCTGTCATCATCCTCTTGTCTGGCTCTGTCTAGATTCAGAATGAAAAGTCTCAACAACAGTTGCTTTAAATTACTATATTTTGACCCCAAGCGCTCAGAAAAAGCTGTCATTTCCATTTCAAATATTCTGATTATTTCTACTGATAGTTAAGCATCTTTATTTATTTACTTGATTTAGGGGGCCAGCTGCCCCCTACCCCCTGGATAGGTGAGCATTAAGTTGTGCAACAGAGAGATCCAAAGCAAGCATTGCACTAGCAGAAACATGTTGCGTAACGGATTGAACAATCAGTTATGCCACAAAGTTGCCAGCACCTTGCTTATACATGCTCTTGAACTTGATTCCGCTGGTGGAAACATGTCACCAGTGGAACATACATGCAGCTAAGTGACTAACTCGGTGCTACATGGGATACTGGCCAAGGCTCTTCTAATCCAGAACTTCCAATGGTAGCCGGAAGCTCACAGACTTGAGGATGATGCAGTAGTGTTGCTACACTGTTTTCCCCTAAGCATCCTGCTTTTAGGGATACACTCACTCTAACAATATGCTGCGAAGCGCCCTGAGATCTTTGGGTATAGGGCGGTATACAAATTTAATGAAATAAATAAATAAAATAATAATGTAGGCACCGTTTGTGGCTCATCATGGCTAATATCCATTGACTGATTGGTTGTCCCTGTGACAAAAGGTTGCAGTGTATCCTCACCTCCTAAGAGCTACTCTCCTTTTGTGAGTTTGAGCCAGCCTTCCCCTGTCCCAGGATATTCCAGTCCATTCCCCTCTCCCCTACTTCAGGAATTCCATTTTACTTTTGCAACCGACACTCAGTATTTTATTTCTCTCTGAGATAGCTTTACTAATTCGGAGAGGAATAAAATTCGGGCCAGCTGGAACAGGCCTACTATTCCACCGTATTCATAAGTTCAGGATTGGAGAGAGACCTGGATTAGAGAGGACCTGGGAGAGGACATTCCCTTAGTTGTGGAACTCCTTCCCCACAGAGGTGCATCACTCTGTAGCTTCTATACCCTGGCTTTTGACGCTTGAGATGTAATTTTAGGACTCACCTTATTTCTGTGAGGGTAAGTTGTTTCCAGCTGCTTTACTATTATGTTTGAATGCTGTAACCCACCTTGGAATCTTTGGATGAAGGGTGGGTAAACAGCAGTTATACACCCCCACACATGCAGAGAAAGGGGAAGTGTTATGTATACATGTTTTTAAAAAACCACTCACCAGGAAGTTGTGGCAATGATTCTTCAAACACTGTTGCTGGAGCACTGTGGGGATGATCTATAGCAAACTGCAACTAGTAATGCATGAATCAGACTAGACTAGAGGTTGCCCCCGATGTCCCTCTTGCATCAACACCTAATATGCTCAGGAAGCTGTCAGTGCCCTGGCATGATCCACTCTTGATGCTGACTCTGGGCACTCTGTGCTGGCATTTTAATAAGTCACAATTATACTGATACAGCATTACTCAGGGGGATATTTGGAAATTGAGATGGTGGCCCTCCACATTTACATGCCCCACAATGCCTTAATGTGATGCCAAGGACTATCCTCTGTAAGTAGGACACCTGACCACTTTAGTTGTGAAAACTGCATAGGAACATAGGAAATTGCCTTATACCAAGTCGAACCCTTGGCCTATCTAGCTCAGCATTGTCTACACTGCCAGCTGCTCTCCAGGGTTTTAGGATGAAGTCTCTCCCAGTGCTACCAGAAGATGCCAGGGATTGAACCTTCTGTATGCAAAGCACACTCTCTGCCACTGAGATGCATCTCTTCTCCAGCAGTGTTATTTATTGCCTGCCCCACCAGCAGCTAAGCCAATGTAAAAATAAATAAATGGGGGGGGGTCCACCCCAAGGCTAGGGTTATCCTCATTCCCCAGAGTGTGATACATCTCACTGTAGCAAGGAAGGCTGCAACCAGATGAGCTGTGTGCTTGCTCAGGCTGTGGTCCTGTTGCTGTCAACTATAGATGGGCATCTTGAAGCCACCACTCCACTCGGGCTCTAAGAGTGATACTATACACCTCTTCAAGTAGAGGACACTTCTGTAAGTAGGACACTTGGCCACGTTCGTCATGAATATGGCTCTTGACATCTTAACTGGTGGTGTTTTGGTTGGAATCCCACTGTGAGGTCAATCCCTGGAAAGAAGCCAAAGGTGAAAGGGGACTTATTCAAGGGGCCTGGCTCACTGCAGCAATGGATCCTTGTTGATCTGCTGCAAAGCAGTTGAGGCTAGTCCGTCAGGGCAAATGGGTTACTGCTCCACCAACTTCAGCCAGCCCTCAGCCAGCTCCTACTTCTCTGTACTTTTACTTGTATCTGGTCCTGGAAGTGGCACTGTCTGTCATCTTCCTCCTCCTCAGTCTCAGTGTTGTCCTTGTAGAACTCAGTAGGGAGGAGGGTGAAGGGGAAACTGGAATTGGTTGGTTCTGGCAGTCATTGACTCTGGCGCCCCCTGCAGTTGGCCTCCCTGCCTTCTGCTATGCCAGTCCCAAATGGCACCGATCACCATGGTGCAAACCAGCCAGAGATATAGCCAGAGATCCAAACCTACCTTGTGCTCACCTCTGATCTAGACTCTGAAAGAAGAGTGTCCCATCATGTGGCTTGCTTGCCAGAAACTGAAGGAACCGCTTATACGGACAGCCACAAAGCTTGTCAATGTGAGGCAAATGGATAGTTCAGTTGGG